ACTTATTTAATTTTTATTTTTTTATGTGCTTGTTTAAACTTGTTTTTTAAAATAAGCAATTTTCTATTTTTTTAAAAATAACTCTTATCTATTTCTTAAAGATTATTTTTTGAAAAGTATTTATTCAGAAACATTTTTTTTTAAATTTAAATAAACGAACTCATTATTATATGTTTGAGGAATAAGTTGGAATAAGTTTAACTAGTAGGAAGGTAATATGCAAGTAAACGAGTAAATCACATTCTTACTTTTAAAATATACGCTCTATCTGTTTTTAATAAGTGTTTGCATTTAAGTTCATTTCATTTAATTGAAAAATAATTTAGACATTAGGAAGGAGTTGAAGTAAAAGCGACAAGAGTTAAGTTCTATCTTTCGTCGTGTTTATGTAATATTTATTATTACTCATACGATTTTATTAAAAGATAAAATAAATTTAGATCAAAATTTTAAAACCAATAATAAAGGTATCTTTTTTTTTCTTCTTAAATATTAAAACAAATAATAAGACACTTAAAAATTAGTTATGCATGACACTGACAGTTAATTAAAATGAAAATATTATTAGAATATTTTGGTAATTATTTATTTCAATTAAAAAAATGTTTATATTAAGAGAATTAAAGCGTGCAGAGCTGAGATAAATTTGCATCCGTGTGCTTGCATCTTAGTGGATATCTTCATTATATCGTATCTAGACGAAGGTAATGTTTGTGCTGCAAAGTAGTGAAATTTAAGTCCAAGACCCGTGTGGACAAACCTTTATGCGAACTTGTCCTTCCTGCTATTTTTCTACTTAACAAAAAATATAATATCCTATTTTAAAAAATTATTAAATTAGAAAAATGTTAATTCACTGAAACTTGACCAGTAGTAAATTTTTTGATTATTTTGTATGGAATCATGAATTCAAACCTTATTATTATAATTGTACAAGCATGTTTGCTTTTTAAAAAAAACCTTATCTTTACTTCTTTATATTCTTCAACTGGTACATTAAAAAATATGTTAATTAAATGATTTTAGAAATATGTTAAATATAAATTGATGAATGCAAGAGGATGAAGAATACACGTAAGAAAATATGTAATTTGAATTTTTTTTTGTTAAATTATTTGGAAAAAAGAGGATGAGTTTAATTTTGGTTTAAAGTAAGAAAAACTTCCGTCTCAAAAACACTTACAAATGACTTATCCCAATAAATAAACGAAAGATCAAATCTTCTATATATCTATGATAACCAAAAACATTATCTTGTTTCATTCGACCAAGTCGTTGGGGTTAATGTATGTGAGTGTGTTTGCTTGTTCAAGATCAGATTGGCAACTTTTAAATCTTGTAATGCTTTGTAACGTCAGCAAAACAGATTTATATGATATTCGATACAAATAGTCGCGTTAGACATCATTCATTTTAAAGTCGTAATTGATAAATATTTTTTAAAGATTTTTTTTTTATATAAACTACTATTTTTTAATTAGGAGTTGTATTGTTTCAATATCCAATTAAAAAACAAATGTTTAAATTTTTCGCAATTATATTTCTAGCTTGATGTAATAAAATTGTAATAATACTCTCTGTAAAGTGAACATCTCAACTTTTATAGTAAAATAAATAATTTCATTCGTGAATAAAAATATGTAAAGATGATATTATGTGTATACAAATACTAAATTATTAAATTATATCAAATATTTATCTATTTCCTTTTTTTCATCAACTATGAAGATAATTCTTAATAACTCTAGAAAAGTGAAATCTTGAAATTCTATGATAGTAATATTATTTATACATCCTATATTAAGCGTAAATTTTATACCAAAAACGTGTATGATTGTATTATTTGTATACAATTTTATAAAAACAAAAAGCATGATAAGATAAATTATGAAAGTTGTTGCCGCCATAGATTGTGGAGTGGTGGTTTATTTTTTTCTTGGGAACAAAGAATAAAGCCACGTGGAAAATGATTAACTTTATGGCGATTAAAATATATTTATGATATTTATACTAAAATATTTATTTTAAATTGTTTTTAATATACAATTATTTTTTTTATCTATCTTATTATTATAATATGTTGTTATAGCTAAAATATAATATTTTAAAAACTTTTTGTAGGTACTCGTCTGTAATTTAACGTTTATATTTTACATTAGTATAATGATAACAAATATAACAAAGATAAATTAAAATAATTATACGTGTAAAAATTAGATTATGTTTTATATAGAAGCAAATTAAAATAAATATTATGTATAAGTAAAAAAATTAAATCTATAAAAAATAAAAAAAATGCAAAAGACAATAATAATAAATAAAAAAGAGCCCCCATCATGTTAGTGATTGAGTTGGAAAAAAGTGGTGGGGCTTCCAAATTTAAGCGAGGAATGATCTAATGAATGAAGAAGAAGAAGAAAAAGAAAGAAGAAAATGAATCTCCTCCTCCATGGACCTTGAATTACGAAATGGTCCAAAGTCGAAACTCTAGGGCTCTCTATAAAGCAAATGTGATGATGATTTGTGAAAGTTGCATTGGCACCATCGATGGCATGCAGGATAATAGAAGAAAACAAACGGCAGTGATCCAGCGCAGGGTGGTCAGTGATGACACGTGTCGAGCGACGGAAGGCGCTCCCATCGGATCAGAAGGTCTAGTGAAAGGGCAATTTGATCATCGTATCAAACTCGTTTTGAGAATAAAGACTTGTGAAGCGGGTCCCACTATGCAACCAAGAGCAACGTCAGTACGCCACTTGTTCGTAGCGCACGATGAGAGATAGATTGAAACAACGGAACCGCCTCGGTTTCACTCAATACGACAAAAATCCAAAACCCTCCTAACTTTACACAATCAATTTCAGACATTGCTTTTTAATTAATGTATTTTAACTTATCATCAGTCCATCTTAGTAGTTTTTAATTTTATGGAGATATTTAAATTTGAGAAATTGTTGGGGGGAAAAAAGGAATAGAAAAGGACGAAAACGAAGGTCCGTTTGAGGCTCTGACAAAAAACATGCCGTCATGCGCGACCTACTACCGGACAAAACACGTGTCATGGTCAATGGCAGTGTGGGGGGTTTCGTGGGAAAAGGGAGGGTAGTTTGGGGAATTGGGTTAGACGGTGTGTTTGGCAAAGGCGTGGAGACTGGAGAGGGAACCCTTTGTCGCCACGTGCCTTGGCGTCGGCCGCACGCAGGGAAACTCTTTTGTCTCCTTCTTCCGTTTCACTTTGTTGCGCTTGTGCCTTCTCTTTCTTTGCACCCAGATTTTTCATTAGGTACGGCTATCGCCAGACCCTGTTTTTGACTATTTCCAGATCTACTGTCTCTATGGAAAAATGTACTTTTTCGCGTAGAAAACTGAACCCCATCTCTTCAATTCGTTACAACAAAATTATTATACCCCTGAAAATTCATCCTCCAGTTTCGGCAGGGAACCATGGGAACCTAATACTTTTTTTCTTTTATATAATTCTATCAAATATTAACAAAACTCTTTTAGTAGAAAAGATCATCCACTTCAACAATAATTGATAATTAGATTTATATACCACTTTTTAACTAGGTAAATTGATGTTCAAACACAACTTAACAACTAGTGTTACTAGAAGACTCGACTAGATGTGTAAATCCTTGTTGATTGAACTTTAAAATCTAATTATTTTAATGAGAATTAAGTAATCTTTCTTTAATAATAAAAATATTTAAAGACACGAAAAAAGATCGTACATGGATGATATATATAATTTTTTATTTATTATCAAAGTACTATGTATTAAGTAATTGACACTAATTGATAAAAAAGAAAAAGTAATTAACACTAAGGTTAAGTCCAATAAATGAATTTGTTCTTTTTTATAGTTCAGGTATGTTTTTTGATTTACCATTTAAAAGTAACTAAACAGATATTCGCACATTCTAGTACAGAAAACGGAGACTTATTTATTTTTATATATCATTTTACAAACACACCCTGACTGTTTGATGAGTAAACCATAAAGTTTGCAACTAATTATGAGGTACGAGCCAATGAAAACTTTGTTTTATGTTAACAAGGTTTTGTTTTTTTGCAATTTCAAATTCGATCGGTTGATTAAGTAGAATATATGGGTATATATTATAAATTCTTGAGTATACAATTTTATTCTTATTGATTAAAATTATGTAATAAACACACAATCATATATTTGGATTATTTATGATAAATAATAAAAAAGTTAATCATAATATGAAATATAAATCAACTTACATTCCACCCAATTGTAATACTAACTCTATTTCGTTGTTTACTTACTTTTAAAAGAAAATATAATTTTTATTTATATGCTATTTTTATTAATTATAGTTGCATTTTGACTTAATATTTTTTAAAAAAAGTGGCTTATGATAAAAAAAAGGGCATATTGTAAAGGAGGGTGAAACGGAGTTGTGAAGACTGAAGAGAGAAGGGGAAAAAGACAAAAGAGGAAAAGGAAAATGGATATGTGGGAGGAAATCCAAAATAAAAAAAAGAAATGGGAAAGTAAATAGGAAAAAGGTGGGTCCCATGGTAACAGTTTAATTCGGCCGCCCGCTTTGTCGTGTCTCTGGTCTCCGTCCATTCCCGTCGTTCTTTTGCGTTTGACTCTCTTTCTTCTGCACCTTCTTATCCTAACCTCTCTCTCTAGCAATCGATTAAGAGTGTTGCGTTGCGAGTGCAAGAACCACCAACCTCAGAGAGACACACACACACACACACCACACGTACATAGTTACATACGTACGTACGAGGGAAGGTACGTACGCGCCCTTCTCTTCTGATCGCTCTTATTATGAGGGCGCACAACAAGGGGATCACTGTTCCTGCTTCTTAGGCCCTTTCTGTGGGTTCCCCCCCCCCCCCCCCGCCCCC